TGAAGAGATAAAATATTTCATTTTTCAGTTCTACGTTTATGTTGTTACGTGGACAATCTCTGACCTCCAACCAAATCTTCAACCTTATACAACAAATCGGAGTAGTTTGTCTTACCACACACGTCGCATAACTTTGTACTGGAAGTGTGTGCATAAGCGAAGTATTTCTGTCTAATAAAGTTGCAGTCACAGGCCAGTCTTTGTCTTCTGATATTTTTAGCCTCAATGAAGCAGAAGGTATTTGAGGAAGGACAGTCGTATTAGATACTCAGTCAAGTTGCCTACTGCATCCCAGTACTGTGATACCGACGTAATGATCCACTCGAACGCCATAGCAATCTATTATTATCAATCAGAAATATACCTGTGTAATGAATTTTTTGACGGGATAACCACCAGGTAGAAATTCATTATTATAAAAGTTTTGTATTTCCAATGAATGAAAAACAAAATGACTTTGTTTTTACTGACGTTTCGCTACTCAATGCTGCTAATAGCTTTATCAAAGTATTATTAAACCAGAGCTTACAAAATCTCAGCTTATATATAACAACTTAATCATCGCTTATCAGAATGGAGTCATTTTTGCGTTGTCAAGTTGACCAATTGGCAAGGATAACAAAACCACTAACACTAAATAGTGAAAAATCAGTAAAAACAACATCGGGTTTTTTCATTCATTGGGAAATACAAAAACTTTTATAATAATGAATATTCGATCTTAACGTAGATCGAACTTTGTGTCACTGAATTTTTATTGCTGCTTTGTTAACCTGTCATAAAACAGCTTTTTATAAATTAAACTTCTAAGTTATCGGTCACGCAAAATAACTGTTTGAATGGCTGTATTTTTTAGTCATTCGCCTTGTTCCTAAGAGAAGAACTGATATGATTTTGAACAACAAAGTGCGTTCGAAACGTCAACCAGTAGATAATACTGTTTCACTGTGTGACATATCTAATAAACGTATTAATGTGGAATTTCATACTACCACAATGCCCAAGTTTCACACATATAAGAATAAACCTTGCCTTGTTAGTGTGTCATCCGTGTCTTCTCAATATGAGATTAATATTTTAGGGGTTAGTCTTATACATTCGTCGTTCTAAAGTACTATAAGTGAATTACGGCGGTCTTTCCATGCAGTGATCAGTCGGTTAGAAAGCAACTGAATCAAGTATTATCCGATCACTTCAACTAAGAAACATGAGATTGGTTTTTGTTAATCCTTTATCTCCGTAGTTTATATAATTATATTTCCAAGTTACATGTTAGTACCAAAGTACATACATGAGACGAACAGAAAAAAGGATTTGTGAAAGCATTCTAGTCTTTATTCCAAGAGACTCACCTAAAAGACGCTAACGTCTTCAGTAGTGCAATAGCTAGTTGTCCGGTAGATTGTGGCCAAGAAATCAGCGTTTTAAAATGATTTAAGGTAACTGAAGTAAAAGTTAGTCTTAGTCTGGCGATTAAGCAACTAAAGCTGAACTTATACATTCAAAAACAAATGGTTGTCAATCAGCATCTGCCTCCTTCACTTGATACTGAAGATAAGATGGACGGCGAGGAAAGACGGGCATCGAATCATCCAAGAATCTATTGTCCAATAAAAATATGGAATTATTAAGAAGACAACTGCAGCGAAGAAAATTATCTTTTCAACGAATTCATCATCTAGGCTGTACATTCGTGTATTTATATCAAATGGATGGGAAAGTTCCAGAATAATTTCCGGTTAAGGGTCACTGTAGTGAATGTTCAAATAGATATATCGTATTCTGTTGCTAATTCCGTATTGAACTGTGGGAATATGTCAGAATCATGTTCCGTCGGAACACATTGTCTGTATCACACCACCACAGTGTTAAATAATAATTGCGAATAAATTCTTCTATGTGCATCGTTCGCACAGCGGTAGAACGTTCGCCAATCACGCATATGGTCTTGGGTTCGATCCTCGGCCGCTCCTTAAGCTCGCTGAGCCAGTGATAAGACTGGTAAAGAGGGAAGGTTGGACATGAGGCTAGCAACCCCATGCCGTAAAAATAAACACCAGTGCTACTGAAACTTCAAGCCTCTAGCTTGAAGCCCTATAGAGCACTGTAAATATAAAGGAATAAAAAAATTTTTTCAATGTTTAAGAGAAAGAGAGAGCAAAGTTATAGAAGTATAAAAATGCAATCGGCCATATTTCTCTTTGTAGTACGAATAGATCTATAAACTCACCTCTATCAATTGCACTTTTGTATGAAATAATTGTAATGGCAGAACACATAACTACTTAACAAAGAAATGATTGTTTATCTCGCAAGCGATGTATAATTATGACACAAAGCATAAATCTTATATTGAAAAAATGTTCCATTTGCCCATGTTTTTCGTTTTTATCTTACTTTTGTCTAACTTTCACGCTTGCCTTATTGTTTCAAACGGATCTTTCTTTGCTTTTTTCGCGATCTTATCCTTCCCTCACCTATTGGAGATTCTGACAGAAGACAACAAAGGCAAATATACAACTGACAAAATCTTACACATAATTACTGGATTCATAAGTATGCCTAATCATTTGCAGTGAATTAACGAGGCCTAGAAATAGCCACTTCCATACTCAAAGGCTAATTCAACTAACATACACCAAATAATGGTTAATGAAATGAAAATCTTTAATGAGCTAAAGAAACAGAAAAGAGTGAAATAAGGCCAAATACTGAATCATTTGTAGATAAATATGGGGTAAAACAGTTTCAGTTAAACAGAAGTTATTTGACAAAAACGAAAAGGAGACGTAGCTTATTCAAATCGTATAGTGCGTATTTGCACAATGCATTTCAAACAATCTGATCGTGCACACATACGTGTCATGGGAATTTATATTAAAAAAATTATGTGTTAAGAGATAACAGAATAAACAATAGTCAGATTAAAAGGCTATATCAAATGTCATAATAACAACAAGATCAATAAAGTAAAATAAGAGTCATCATGGAACAATAATTCTGGTTTCAGAACTAAATATACCAAGGAAGGGTTAGCTTGATGACAAATTGTTTATGAATACATTGTGGGAGATTAAATATCATGATTACCTAGGCTTTCACAGAAATTAGGATCCCCGTCACTCCCAACAGGTCTAATAATTACGTCTAAAAGGTGCGTATACATCTATTTTGTCGTGTTTCAATAATAGGTCTCAAAACTGAGGCGCTTGTTAGTCTAATTTCACCATTAATTGGTTCTGGACATTCACACTGTATCCTAATTTTCTGTGTAGCACTTACGTTCAGAGATCAGAATGTCCTCCTTAATTGTGTGTGTCGTACATCTATACTGATAAATACAATAGTGTGTGAAATCATTTTTTACATGTTCTAAGGACTTAGAAGAATCAATTGACTTCGCGCTCTCCAAGATCCCTATCTTAACTTCACTAATTAGTTGGTTGACAGTAGCTAGCAATGGAAACCAAGACACACGTTTCGTCCTATCTATCTAGACCGTTAAGCTTGTATCCTAGTGATGGTGTTACTACTGAGATATGTTAAATGAGACAGGCCACAAATAATTTTGATAAATAATAAACAAAAGTTAATTCGATGAAAAAAGAATTCGACGGTATTTAAAAACTAATCCAGAATTAAGTTATTTGAAGACTTTCAGAAGTAAAAGGTTGTTTTACTGAATAGGTCTACTTTTGGCACGTAGTCTGTAGATGTAGTCCTTTTCTTCTGCAAAAACGAAAGTGGCGAAGATAAACTTTCGACACCACTAACTACCAATCAGCGAATTATCCAATGAGATTCACGAACGATGTCGAATTATCCAATGAGGTTCACGAGAAAGAGGCTACAGTCAGTTTCAAGGTCATGATGAGTTCCTGCGTCGGCTGGTTATATGTTTTCGTGAATTCGATTTCCACTGAATTTTAAAGGTTTTTTTGCATGTTTTTCCCATTTTGCAGTGTGTAGATCAGTTTATGTCACTGGATACTACTATTAAGGTGATTTTTAGCCTAAAGTTCCCAGTTTTTATGTTGGTAGTCAGGGGTTATGGTGAACCTGCAATGATTCAGGCAAATAAGGTATACTTTTCTAATATATTAACCTTATTTAATAAGTAAACTGCCTAACCGTTCTGCTATTGTTTGAGGTTAAAACTAAGAGCTGGTTTCTTATCATGATTGAAAGTAAATGGAACCGACTGGATTTGCTTATCCGCTCTGTTCCATTCCTCACAAGACAAATTAGTTTCGAACTACCGTTATTTCAGAACTAAAAGACTCAATTCAGCACCTAGGTATCATTGTAAGCATGACCAGCGTTATTTGAGAAAATAGTGGGTAAATAAGAGCTTCAGTTACCATAAAAAGGCCTTATCGATGAATAGGTTAGAATAAGTTTATGAATATAGTAGGCTTGGTGGCGTTGCGGTCTAAGTGATAAATCGTATTAATCACCGTTATTCAGGATATGCTATGAACCGCAAATGCTCGGCTGAAAAACGTAGTAAGTAAGGCACAGATCGTTTTAATTTCTAAGTGACTTTCAAAGCGCTCTCTTAACGAAACAATCAACCAAAGTATTCTTTAAACTGTCGGTCTTAGCCTTTTGAAAGGAAAGGAAGTGTAACTGCAGTTTATACATACATGTTTATATTCTGAATACAAATGGAAATAAAAAGGTAATACAAATATTTTCACAAAAATAATCGATTAACAGGGGCACGTCGTAATCTTAAAGTTGTTTGCGGTTCATTTGCTAGCAAACTGTCCAACCTTCTGGTAAACTCCGCTATTTCCCGCAGTGCAGCATCCGGATTTCTTCGGTTCAGACTGTTGAGACGATATCTTAAACGTTCATAAGCATTTCGAAACGCGTTGTTTGGTTCCGGCATTAACCGGATGGCCCTCGGAATGTTGTCCGTTGTGTTATATACACGTGTCCACCTCTCACTATTCCTCAGAATATCTAAGAGTAACATTTAAAGAAATGGAACATACCACAATTTAGATATGAGTTCAAGAACGCCTCGACGACATGTGCACAAGGCAAATTGTATGCGCAGTATGTCCAACATGTGCAGTCCGCCTCGTTCCTGTTCACGAAGAATATGTGACCACCTTCTGCGTAAACAACTGAGGTAGAAGATATTGAATGGAAGAAGAAGGAACGCCTTTGTAAATCTAACACAACTTTCTGGGCAGCAAACGGCGTGAGACTCCGTAAATGAGACTTCAGGGAATTAGGTACCTAGGATAAATCGTAAATTATCTTCGAACTTACATCGTAATTGTAGTATTTAGCAAGCATCCACTGGCCCTGACGTATTTTACGCATGGTTGTGTGGTCGATTTACCTCCATATTTTCCATAGCGTCAGTTCCATAGGATCACCTTTACGTAGATATCTTTTCAACTGCCTATGAGCATTCTCAACTCTGTTGTTAGTATTGTTCCCCATGCTGATGGTGAACCTGTTGCACGATGCAGCCCAATATTTGCGTGTTCTTAGCCAGTACCTTCTAATGTAAGCACCAGCCTCAGCGTCTACAATACTTATGAGGTTTAGGTAACGCCAAAACCTTTGGCAATATACTCTGATTTGCTAACCTACCTGTCATAACTGCGCGTGTGCGCCATTCCATACAACCACTTTTTAACAAGCTGGTTTGGGAACTGTTTTCCCTATGTCAGTTAATGGGAATGTAACTTACCTTCCTTCTGAATGCCTTGCATACATGGAAAAGACACAAAACAATATTGCAACTAGGGAATTCCTCCTTTAGGGCTTTCATCTGTGCAGTTGCACAGTCGACAGTGAATGTTAATGTTTTCGATGTATCCACCATAAATCTCTTAAACGTTTGCAATATCTCCTTGATATCTGCAAACGTTTCTCTCCTAGTAAGAGCAAACAAAACAGTCCTTCCTCTTCCGAATCCATCAGTCACAACAAACTGATATAAAGGCCATCTGTAACAAATTTGGAAAAGGAATTATACCTTGTTGTACTGAAACTTACCCCATCTTATTCGTTTTGTAAGTACAATCGATTCCAACTACTTCTGGAAACTTATGATACACGTCTATCATATCATTACGAGCAAAAATGATCTTAGATACAAAGCCTGCGTTGTCCTGCAAAACTTTAACTGTACCTGTCTGCCTCAGTCGATGAAGCAGCTCTTCCAAACAACCAATTTCTATTCTACTGCACCATTTATTTTGATAGGACTTACGTTTATTTATCTTAGCCCGCATGTTTTTAATATCGTTATACAGGAGCGCTTTTCCGAACTTCTCATGCGCTAGATCCATGATTTCATGAACAGCAGTATTCCTTTCAATGAACGGTTGGATAATTGCCATTTCTTGTGATGATAACCGACGTCTAGATACATCGGTGGACATAAAACTTGCTGTGCAGGGATGGTTATGCACAGTTTTGTACTTGGTTATCATGTATACGTTGGATTTCCGCTGGACTAGAATTATTGACTGACATGATGTACTTTTGAACCTTAAAATTTTTAAAATTTGCACACGCAGCCAACTTACCCTCTGTTCCTAAAGCCAGCACCTCGGGGAGCACGATGACTTCCAAAAGTGCATTTAAACTTAACAAACTTGTAGTCATCAGCACCGGGTCGATCTTTTTTACTTGAATCAACACGATAGGATGTATTGGATTCCTTTCAAAGAAATAAAGAACAACTTAGTTAGTACCTTCATAAATGTGTCTAAAGCTTCCTTAAATTGTGTCCATGTATAAAATATACAACACAACATTATCCTTTGGAATATAGCTGTTACATCATACAATAAAGATGATATATTTCTTGAAGTAGACGCAGTAGGAGTACTTTGCAACATCATTTAATCGTTTTAACAATTCCTAACGTGCACAACACTATGACTTCAAGTAAATAAACACTAGTATATATTTCAGTGCTTATATACCACTGGCCATGACCTTGTCAATTTACTTCATTTATGCTGACGTAGTACGCACAATTCCCACAAATCATTGAAGTGACAACTTCAAAAAGTAGATTAGTTACTACATACATATTTCTACATGTAATAATTCAGGACACATTAAATTTATAGAAATGGTAGTTGAATTATATTCGCCTAGTAACCAAAATGGCATACATTCTATTTTGGACTTAAAATAAATGCATCAAAATTATTGTTGATTTATATTCACTTTCTGGACATTCTCATACATCTCAATATACTTTAAACATCAACAATGCATCCAAATAGCGTGTGACTGTCACACTACACTCACACCAAAAAAATTAACACGCCATTATATTATGGTAAGGTAAGCCCGAAATTTTACTGACTGTAAATTTCCGTGTAAAAATAAAGAGATTGGCGCTTTAATTTATATTTTAGACCAATAAAAAGCCAGCTAGCCAACAGCCAATAAAAAACTGCCTATATCTATTTTCGGTTCACGAACGCAGTTCAATGTTGTATAGCGCTTGATTCATTTCTACTGCGTGACCTTACAAGGCTGTTGTTGCAATTCGAGGAGGTTAGTGTTTCCAAGTATTCCCTAGATTTCAGTTGCTCCGGAAAGAACGAATTTGATTGTGTGGTGGTATCATGACTTTAAAAAGCTAAACCAAATCCACTGATGGGTTTGTTCATCGTTGTGCTATATGTTTGAAGCCTACTAACACTAAATAGGGTATGCTGATAATTTTATTATTTCGTAGGAACCTTTTTCGCTAGGTCGCTTCTCTCCCTAAGGATAGCAGATAGAAAAGCAACTACTCTTATACCTATTGTTACCAGAATTGTCAAGCGGGGGTCAGTTATACACACGGAAAGGCTACAATTCGCTGTCATCTCTGGGATATATTCATCGTAGAGACAAACATTCAAGTGATTTTGTGGATTCCGTTACGAGGACACTTACAAATTCTAATGAAGGATTTTGGGGTAGGTTGGAAAATAGGATAAGGACTATAAATGTATCTCAAAAGGATCTCATTTATAGTCATTTGGATGAATATATGTACAGGATATGGTGTAACTTCTCCATTGACAGTCCCATGCTAAACTGGGATATTTTTCTCTCACATGTTCGAGAAAGATATCCCATGTAACCTTTTTTAGGCAAAGTTTAAGAATAGGGTCCCAAAACCTTCAACGCTCAAATGACCTTGAACGCATGCTAGTCATTGGCTAACGGTTCCTGTCATTATCATAGCTGAAATATCAACCCTATTCATCAAATAAGGAGCAAGTTTCACCCAGATAACACTTTTATTACTGTTTGGACAATGTGTTAACATCTCGTTGGGGTTAGGATAGGGGTTAAGGCGAGTATTGTGGTTAGGGTTAGGTTTAGGGTTTAGGGTTAGGGTTAGGGTAGCGATTAGGAATAGATTTTTCGTTTATTTCAAGTTCTTTTTTTATCCTTATTTCCCTTGTATGTAGTCGCCAACGCTCTTACTGGAACCATAGTAACTAAACCGAGGGCTTAGGAGAGGACTACACAGCAATAGAAGAGAGATGAACCATTCTCAAAACAACACACCTTCAGTCTCTTTGGTGAATACATCTACAGAAACTAGTCCAAATTAGCAACTGTTACTCTTCATCGCAACTGGAAAGTATTTTTAAGTCATATCAGAGAAATATAATCCGTTTAATCTTTTTTTCATGCATTTTTGTGTAAATATACGTAAAATTTTATGCAAAAATCGTCCTATTTTCTAATTGGTCGGCTCAAGGTCATTGTGCGTTCGCATCGCTTGGGACCCTATTCTTAAACTTCGCCCTTTTTTATTATCTATTTTGTGCTTTTTTCTATAAATATACATTTCCATTCATCATATATGCCTCTTTAATGTGATTGGTCCGTTCGAGGTCGTTTGCTGATTGGTTGTTAGTGGTGTCGAAAGTTTAACTTTGCCACGAAAGTAATTGAATTGTGTAAAGTAGAGGCATACTATTTTAAAACTTCTATTTAATTATCTTTTTTGAGACCAGAGAGAGGGCTCAATTCAATAAACTGGTACGTCCTCACAACGAGGAGATTTGAGACTTTATTCTTCAACTCCAAACACAAGCTTCAAAATGTAACTTTGGAGATCAGCTGCATACTTAACTACGTGATCGTCTAATTGCTGGAATCAATATTCCTAAGTTAGAGAAAGAGTTAATTCAGATTCCTTCTTGTACGTTTCAAACTGCTAAAGATTTATGTATTACATATGAAGATGTCAACAGTGAATACTCTGCTCCCACTACGTTAGTATCTGATGTCATGCTGTCCAAAGTCGAAAATACAAGTGTTCATGGAAAGCAATCCAAACTGTCGTCCACAGGTAACAGAATGCAGCGAGAGATCAAAAACATTAAACAGTGTTTATCCTGTGGAAAGTTACATCTACGAAGCACTTGCCGTTTTCGGGGTGCTAAGTGTCGTAAGTGTGGTAAAGTTGGACACATCAAGACTGTTTGCAGAAGTTCGAATACTTATGTTGCCCAGAATTCTTATAATTCTCCCAATCTGTCTAGTAAAATGGAGTCAATGTGTCTTTCAACTTTTCAAAATACCCAAGCTCATCCAATGAAAACCTCCACTACAAGTTCAGCAACTCAAGCGTCAACTGTTTTCAAAAATGTGGTAGCCGAGTTACAATGCGAACTGTCGAAAACACGAGAAGAACTGAATGAGATGAGAGAGCAACTGATTAAAATGGAGGAATTGCTGCATATGCATAGACTGCGTCTGTTGAATGCAGAGCATACAAGTACCCGTGAAAGTCCTGCAAAACTTTTTTAAATCTCGAATTCTCAGAAAGCATCTGATGTCCACGACTTCTGATGTACATAATTACAAAGAAAATGATTATACACCTTCTGTTGGAATCATACTACAAAAAATGGGAAATCGAGTGGTGAAGATATTAGACATCAAAGATCACTCAGTTCATAACAGACACCTGGACAAAGTGACAATAAATGAGGTAGATCGTTTCGATTATAATTTTAATGATTCCGCTACTAATCGTGATTTTGTAGATAATTCAGAAATAAGTCCAGATAGTACTGATGAAAATAATATCACAGAATCGGCTAGAAGATCGCAGAGACTGGCAAGCAAACCGAGACATCATTATAAATACGCAAGGAGACATTCGACGTGTGGCGGATGTGGTGATTGACAATTTCTATCTCTTTAATGTTTAAATACTTACTGTTGATTGTTGATATATTTCTCATATGAATTGAATAAAATTCCGCCAAATACAAATTAATAGATTCATCCCTCTCTGTGTGTTTGGTTGAATTCTTTTAATTCGGTCATTACGAAATACTAATACTGCTAATACAAATAATTACAACAGTCGTGTCACCTGAAAGGTGATTTGGCGGTGTCGGAGCATCAAGACTACCTACTGTTTCTTCGTTAGCAAAGGGGAAGCTGAATAACTCGCATGTCTCCTGCGGTCTTCGTACAGTATCTCTCCATCTGGTAATAAGCTAGGGATACTTATTCTGTTGTTGTTAATTCGCGACTTTTACTAATGCTTCTGTATTGTCAGGTTGCGAGTGGAGGATGCGTTCTAGTTTGACGGACTCAGATAAGTGAATAGATTTGTATGAATCATAAGTTTGCTTGAATGTAATGAGTGATGAAAAGTCATTATATCTGTAGAATTGCCTAGCATGCTTACGCAGTCGGTTTCGAATCTTTACAGGGATGAAGTCGGGCTGTTTAGGCCTCGTTTTCACAAGTCTTACTGGAGCGATGAAGTCATGTGCAAATCCTAGGTTCTCATAGAGTAATTTGTTTGTCTCTATAGCCGAGCTGCATGTGAAGTATGGCTCCCAGTCTAGGGTGCGTATGTATGGTTTCAGGTCATCGCACTGAGTATGTCTTTAACTCCTGAGTAATACTTTGTGGGCGCCTGATGTTGAACTCACGCTGGTATAAATATTGAATGTACTAAATACTACTCTGTGGTCGCTGCCAGGAAACTCTTCACCTGCTCGAAGGGTAGTGGGGATGATACCATTGGTGGAAACTAGATCTAAATTTTTACATATCCTTGCAAGGTGCTTTATGTGTTTTTGGCAGTCTTCTGTTTCGATTATGTTCAAATTTCATAATACTGTTTTGGTGAGCAAAGTGGTTGCCAGACTGCATCAGGCATATTAAAGTATCTACATATAATTTTAGCCGTATGAGGTATTCAAGCGGCGTACGCAAACGTACTCGCAAGCTTCAC